ATATATATATATATATATATATATATATATATATATAAATAAATGTGTGTATTGAATTTGACTAAAAGCTAATTATTTCACTGGATCAAAATTTTACTAGTTCGGTTAGGTTAAGTTTAATTTGGGTAATTTTTTGTTAGTCAATTATTCACGTCATTTAAAATCGTTTTATGTTTTATAAAAAATATATATATTTTATCTTTCTAAAAGTAAATTAATATTTATATATACATACTCTATTTGTATCAAAATAAAAAATTTCTATGAAATACATTAAACAATATAAATAATTTGAGGCTAGGCACTTTTAATTTGTATTTTTAATTTATATATGTTAATAAATTTAACAATATGTTATGTGTATGGTTGGGTTGAATTTAAAAATCAAAATTCATTACTTGATCCATATATGTTGGATTTGACCCAAACTTTTGATGTATAGGTTTTTGTTAAATATATGTATACATTACACCTCCTTATCCTTTTTTTCTTCTTTTTTTTAATTTCTTAAATACCTTTTATCCAAAAGTACTTTTTTAGAATAGGAAGAACTTTTCCAAATTGTTTTTAGAAATATATTTTTACTCTTTCAAAAAAAAACTTTTTAGATGTATGTTTTAGCACTCACTCCCAAATAAAAGGAGTAAAAAATTATTTTTAAAAATTATTTTTTGGAAGAGGAAAAAATTACTTTCAAAATATACTTTCTCAAAGTACATTTTAAGAACATAGCACAATTCCATAATGGTAATAACAAAAAATATCATTTCTAATCGATAATCTAATTTTTCTTAGGCCCTTTCATGTTACTATCATTAATTTGAGAAATTAATTGTGTCTTCATATGTTTATACATATTTTCTTTAAATTTTTTGTACTAAAGAGTAATAATGTGTGAGTTGGCCAAGAGATTCACATATATAAGACATCTCCTTATCATTTGAGCTACACTTAGATTTATCATATGAGATATTGGGATCATTGTTTACATTAACCTTTTCTTATATTATATCTACCATGAGATAGATGTTAGCTTTTTTTATCATTTGAACCACTGCTACTATTGTTGCTTTCCAGGTCATCTTAGGTGACCATCAAGTTCTTCTTCTCCTTTTTCTTTTTTTGCTTGGTCTACCTTTCCCTTAGTCTAGGATGACACTCGACATTCATATACCTTGACTTTTTACAATCAAAGCATATGATTTCTCCTCCTTATTCTTGGTAGGGTTATTGAACTTTTTTTTCTTCTATCTTCGCTGGAAGTTCTTGAACTTACCTTTCTTCTTCAACATCTTCTTGAACTTTTTGGATATCAAAGATACTTCATCATCTGTGTTATCCTCATAGTCAACTTCTAAATCAGAGGGTTTAGAATGCACCTTGAAAGCTTTGCATCTATCTTTCCTCTAGTTAGGTTCACTTGTCTTGAAAGTAGAAGACTCACTAGTCTTGATCTTGTTTCTCTTGAACAAATGAATCTCATGAACTCTTAGAGCTCTTAAAAGCTTATCAAGAGTAAAAGTCTTAAGACCTCGAGAATTAGAAATAGTTGTAGCTTTAGGCTCTTGGACTTTAGGCAGACTATCAAGGATCTTCATATTATTTTGAACTTTGGTGAACTTAATGCCTAAGGACTTGAGACCATTAAGGATAGTCTAGAATGTTTCAAACATTTAATCAATAGTGTGTCTCCTTCATGGTGAAAAGCTTATAGTGCCTCTAAAGAGTAGCAATTCTCCTTAGTTTGACATCTTTAGTTCTTTCGTGAGTAACTTTAATGGCGTCACGAATCTATGATGATCTTCCAAAGTTATGGATAAGGAGCAAGCTATGATATATCTTGCTCTAAAGTTAAGTTACAAGATATTACAATCTTCCCGAGTATATTCACTTACAACTTTTGAAACCAAAATGTCTTCTTCTATGATGATCTCCTAAATGTTGTACAATATAGACTTAATGAACATATGCATCATGTCTATCTATTAAGGATAATCCTCGCCATTAAAGATAGGTGATCTTGTAAAGAAGTACTCTTAGGCAAGAACTATCCATTTCAGTTAGCCATCTTGAATATTTTCCTTTAGCACTTTTTAAATGCTCAACCCCTTAAGGATTGAGCTTTGATACTATATTGTGGGAAAAAAATATATACTAGAAGGGAAGTTGAATAATATCACAAACTTTTTCATCACTCAAAAACACTTAACAAATGATACATATAGATGGTATAAAACAAGAAGATAAAAACACAAGGATAAGAGCAAAGAAAGATCTACACGTGGGGCTTTCATGGGGTAAATTTTAAAAAAAATAATAATTTCTTTAAAGGAACGCATGTGCAAAATAACCTTTTTCCCATGGATCACACTAAAGGTAAGAACCACACCAAGGAATTGACATATTTCTTAAATAACCTAGAATTTCTCACGTAAGGAATTAGGGTTTAAATATAATTGTGAGTTGTTGAATTAACTGTATAATTTTAACATTTAATGGGAAATTAAAAGGATTTGCATGGGGAAAGTTGATGAATCAGTCTCTAACTATTCTCATTATAAATTTAAAATCTTCACAATTTACTTCTTTATTTTATTTTCATCAAATTATCATTAAATAATTATAATTTTTTATTAAATCATCTGTTTAGTACCAAAATTTTATTAAATGATTATAACTCAAGTCTTTGTAGATTTGATAACTTGAACTTTTGTCCAATTTACTACCTACGACAATAGATACACTTGCCAAATGCGTATCAAAGCCTCGTATAGTTGAAGGGAGATCATTAGAGAAGAAATTTGTTGATCTTGGAGTGGAGAAAACTAGGTTTTGGAAGTTTTGGGGGATGTTTTTCTCTCCTTCGATTTTAGTTTCTATGAAGCTAATTGATGTAAAGGAAGCTTGAACCTCTTAAATTCTGGTTGATTGTGTGATCTTCATGTTGTTTTGAGCAAATTTTATGGCTAAATGATGAGATTTAGAGTATCTTCTCCTTGTTGGGTTTTGGGATTTTGTGTCTTACTTATGGATTGATTTTGGTTCATTTGGCATTTGCACGTGTTATTTTATGCAAGGATCTTTGTGTTGGAGTTATAATTGATGTTTTGAAGTGCTACTTTTAGACCTTTGGAGAGTCATGCATGTGAAGTG